GCAGCACGTTTGAGGTGCCATTAAAAATTAATGGCACCCATACACATGTGGTGCGTTTTGCCACAATTGCAGTGGGATTTGGAAGTGTGGGCAGAATTACAGCGATTCTGCCAGATGTGAACGGGGCCTAAATTAACTAAATTGAAGGCTTTTACATGGTGGGCTGCTTCCTTTTCTTTTGTAAAGTTAAAATTTTGAAGAGAGAAGCCAACTTCCCGAGTCAGGCAATTTATTAAGGAGCAGTGGAATTTTGTTTCTTGTTTCTCAATATAAAAGCCGAGCCTTCCAACATCTTTCAAACACAAGGGGATAAGGCACACAGCTACAATAATGTGCTCTTCTTCTGTGTTTGTATTTGGGTCAACCAGGACGTCTTTTGCTAAGTCTTGCTAAATCTATGCCAAATATCATGATGGTTCACCACACCCCATCCCATGAAAAAATAGAAGTAACTGAAAGTCAAACAGAAAAATAACACAAGTAAGTTCTTTTGTGAAGACATTTGGGTCAATTTATTAGTGGTTCCACCCAAGATTCAGACTTCATCCAACTCATCCAAGCATTTTTCTAATTATTCTGTGAAAATATGTAAAACTTAGTTTAAAGTTTTGGGAATCATATGTGGAAACATTGATAAATAGACAATATAATTTACATTTTGTATGTTTATGTTCGATATAAAGCAGACTCAACAAAAATAGCAATTTTGTCACCATGATGATTGGTCAAAAGTGATTGGGCTGTGAATTCAATCACAAGTAGGACTCCTTGTAGCAAGCTGTCAAAGTTCCATCATCATGCTGGTCATTCTTTGTTCTCATCACATCACTAACTTCAAATTTTTTTGGAGAGTGGGTTTTGCATTCCTGCCATTACTGATATGGAACAATTAGCGCAATACCATATTGGTGGCTGCCATTGGTACTCTAAATTTTATCATATTCTTTTGAAAGCTGGCAGTGAACAAATATGACAAATAACTTTCAGACAGCAAAATCAAAAGAAACATATTTGTGCCAAATGAGAATTTTTTTAAACATTTTGCCTTTCAGCCTTATTGTCTATGGTCTGTTGGTATGGTAGGAGAGTAAATGGGTACATGAGGTTTCATTCCCTGGTCTGCACTGGGGAAATAATTGACTAACTGGTTGCTATGGGGAAAATCTCCAGTATTTTTTCCCCATCTCATAAATGATACCTAATATACCTGGCTCTTTAGCTGATGTGGGTTTAAAGTCCCAGTAGGCACCTATGGCTATTTAACAACACCTGGAGAGTCATATATTAGGCTCCATGTACACTATCATTTTTTTTTTAGCTCAAAAAACGCTGGATAAAAAACACTGGCAATAGAGTTTTTTAGTAGCATTTTAGGTGCGTTAGCGGTTTGCTAGCGTTTTTACAGTACCTGTAGGAAAATAAAAAGCTAGAAAAAAACTGTTAGGAGTGATTTATGAGCATTCAGAATTTTTCTGCTGGCAAATCACTCCCAAAAATGCAAAAAAGGTGTTTTTTTGGGGGGTCTTTTTGCTGCTAGAAGCTGAAGCTTGAGAAACGTAGTGTACATGAACACATAGACCTGTGATCTCTCCATAAAGAGGACCTGATGTTGTTCATCCCTTATGATAGCAATAAAGTTCAATAAAAAAAAAATGAAATGAAATAAAAAAAAGTTAAGAATTAGAGTAAATAATACATTTAAATTAAATAATAAAAAAATTAAAGTGCCCTTGAACCCTCCCTATGCTCAAACACAAATGCAAAGGTGAACATAGGTCCCTCACATATGGTGATTGCACCACACATGTGAGGTATATCAATGCAAAAATCAGAGTGAGAGAAGTGATTGTAGCCACGGTCCTCTTGTTTAGCTCTAAACTGGTAACGTGAAGGCTTTTGAATGGATGGTTTAATGTACCATAGTTTGTCCCCATTAGAGGAATGTGCAGTTTTAAAGCATAATATGTTGGGTAGCTTATTACTCGGTGTAATATCAGCTTTTATGTTTTGCAAAAAAATAGGGTATTACCATTATGTTTATATGCACTAAAATTCATTAATTTGTATGTTTTCCCAAAAATTTGCATTTGATAAACTGCTGCCCAAATATTGTGCTCCAAAAAAAATTGTAACAACAACCATTTTATTCTCCAGGGCCTCTGTCTAAAAAAAAAAAAATTAAATTATACATTGCTAGGGAACATACTCTGATTTTTCTCACCCCTACTATTGTCAGCTATGACATGCAGGGGAGAAAGTGTGCTCATGCATTGTACCTATGTGTTGTTTCTTCTACATGTAGTAGAAGCATGGGACACAACAGACAAGTGGTGTTTTCATGGCAAGAGTTGTTGATCATTTTAGATGAAAGCTAAATTCATACAAGAATGATTTATTAATTGTTGGTTATCAGAGTTATGCTGTCCTACTAGTGGTTAGCTGACAGCTTGCTAACAAAACTGACTGAAGCAGCGTTGTGCTTCATTACAAAACTGAATAGTATACTGTATAGGTTGCAAGCCGACGATCCCCGCAAGATGGATCGGATCTGCGGATTGGGGAGCATAGTGGATCGGACTCCGATCCATTATGCTCAATCCCCAGATCCGATCCATCCAGCAGGGATCGTCGGAGGGGTGACACCAAGTGTTACCGCACAGGGTAACACCAACCCTAGGGACGCCCCTGCTCTGGACACCACCAGATCTGTCCTTCCAGTGGTGTATTTAGATTCTAGAGCGAAGTTTTCAGTGTTATTTTCTTTGTGGTGGAGAGGCCTCTAGATCGCCTAGAATCCTGCTTGGATATAGATGGCCCACAGTGTTTGGCAAACATTAATGTGTGTCTTTCTGGATGGCTTCTGTTTCAGATTGTGAAATATTCCAGACGTATTCAGTGTTTGTTCTTCTGTTGTCTTTCTCATAGAAACTTGCCAAAGAGGTCCAGACAGCATTAGCAAAGGCTAACAGCACTGCAGAAGAAACTATTTCTGCAATTAAAACTGTCCGGAGTTTTGCTAATGAGGAGACTGAGGCCAATGTGTATTGTGATAAGCTACAGCAACTCTACTCTCTGTATAAAAAGGAAGCTTTTGCCTATACTTACTATATCTGGTCTACTGGAGTAAGTATAACTTTTCTGTTACCTGTGTGTAATATTTTTTTTAAATCTTGAATAGAGAAGGTAATGATGAAAACCCCTGACAGTTTTTTTGCTCTAAGAAAGTTAAGATTAGAATATTTACCCTTACCTCTTTTTATTTTTTATGTAAACTTTTATTTGATTTTTTAGCACAAAAAAAAACATATTTGCAAAAATATTTCACATATACATATTTTAATTTCCCCCAATATTACCCTCGCCCTCCCCCCCCAACCTGATTTCCCCATCCACCTCCTCTTTCCTAAACTATATCTTCTCTCATATTTATCTATCTATCTCTGATGCTGCTCCTCTTGGATTCTCAGTTAAGGCTCTCTCCTGACTTCTAAGCTTCCCCCTCAATTCCGACCAGTTCCATATATCTTTCAGATGTTTTACATTTCAGCCAACTACACCATGTTTTCCTGAATTTTTCTATTTTATCCTCCTCCATGTGACATAGCTCCTCCATCCTTTAGATATTTTCAGCTCTATTTATCCATTCATTAATTCTTGGTGCTTCAGGAACCTGCCAGAACTTAGGAATTAAACCCTTAGCTGCACTAATTAAGTGATAAAGTACCCTATTTTTATATAATTTTCATTGAGGGCTCAAAGTTATAACATAAACTCCCGCAGATCTCTCTGTACAGTTATCCCACATATTTCCTGAATGTATTGAATTATTTCCCTCCAGTAATCCTGTATTTTCGGGAAACCCCACCATATATGTGTCATTTTAACCCTTTTTCTACATCCTCTCCAGCACAGAGGTGAAGTATCTACTTGTTGCCTGTGAGCTACGTTTGGTGTAGTATACCATCTAGTTAAAGCGGAGTTCCACCCAAAAGGGAAAGTTCCGCTTTAAAGATTGGTCCCCTGTTCCCCATTAAGGATTGGCACCTTTGGGAAGCGAGGGGGGAACAGGTACCCGAATTTGACAGGTACCCGCTCCCAATTCAGCTGTGATCGCCTAGGCGATCGGAAACAGAAGTAAATCTACTAGTGCATGGCCAACGTAAAGTGTTACTAAACTCAGGACCCTGCATTCACTATATCTGGTCTCCCACAGTACACAGAACATGGAAATTCAATTATTTTAGTAAATATAAACTTCTAAATATCTTTTCTCATCAGCAGTTAGAGCAGTCTTGTTACTTCTATCAGTGTCCAGCCCAGCACTAGATAAAGCTTGTAGGAGGAGTTTTCTTTCTGCTCTAGGAGACTGCAGGACCCCTGACCCTCTGTTGGGACAGTGCTGATTGGTCCTATGCTGATCACTTGCACTCTCCCAAGAAAAAAAAAACTCTAGCAATACACACCAAACTGAGCATGCGCAGCTTGCCTCCAAACCTCTGTTCTATCAGGAGATATATTGGGGACAGTAGAAAAGTGGAGGATCAGAGAAGAGAGAATCAAACATCCTTTTTACACAATGCAGATGAATAACCCCATTAGGTTCCACAGTGAGCATAACAAGCATGCTTTACTGCATATACAGACTGATTTTACTGTCATGAGTTTAGTAACACTTTAAGGTTTTACCACATCCTGATCCTATCCATAATGAAAATAAAAGTTTTTGATTTAGCACCTCGATTGAATAAAGATAAACATCCATTTCATTATAGGTATTTAACACACCTAGGGTATATTTCTTCTTTACACACTGTTAGAAGTTCACATACGTGTGCCTTATATGGCATGATTTACTATGCAATTGATATATAGTAATACTGCTTTTCCACATAAGGACATAATGGTGTTTTTATCAGAAACTATTTTCCTTTTAGTTTACAGAACTGGCACTACAAATTAGTATACTTTACTATGGTGGACACCTCGTAATATCTGGGCAAATGACCAGTGGTAATTTGATTTCCTTCGTCATCTATGAATTTCTTCTAGGTGACTGCATGGAGGTGAGAATAATACGTCAGTTGTAATATAATCAACATCGTTACAGTATATTTTTTTCTCTTTAATTTACAAGTGATCTTTCTATTCTCTTCTCTATATTTGTGGCTCTAGCTTGGTTAGTTCTTCACTTCTGAAAATTCTAGTTTTCTGGCTGTCATGCAAACCCTCTAGCTTCAATGCTTTCTGACATATTATGCAGCATAGAAAGTCACAAACTCTTGTTCTTCTTTTAACCTCTGTTATTGTGTACTATTATGAAAAAAAAAGTCCAGCTCCAGATAAAAAAAATTTTATTTTTGAAAAGAGTGGAGAAAGGTTAAAACTACTTTCGACTTACTGCTATTGGGTCCTTATTCGGGTCCCTACAGTAAGTGAGGGGAAAGCTCTCAGCTCTTCCCCAGCACTCATCAGGCACCATGGGAATCATATGGTGCAAGACTGAAAGGGATTCTATACCAGCATGTGAGTAAGTTGTAACCCACTTCTTGATATGTGTTACTTATCAGTTTATCAATTTGTTCAGGGGAGATTTATTTTCCAGATCCCTCTCAAATTTTCAGAAAAAGGCATGGAATGGTTTTGGATCTGGGTTCAAGAGCAGAGGGTAAAGCATAGATAGGGTTTGTCTCATTGGGCCCTCTCTCATGCAAAAAGTTTGAATGGCTGTCAAATGTCTGTTGGACAGGCCTGAAAAAACCCAGTGCCGCATAGGGGGAGTCTACTTGTATGTCATGTAAAGTGGGCCATGAGATGGCCAGAAGGAAGTGGCCAATTCGAGAGCTTTCAACATACATGGGCTGAAAACTGCTATCAGACATGCCTGGTGGGAATTGCGGGTTGTCCCGGTCCAGAAACAGCAGTGAAGGATCTATGCATCTGACCCTTAAGGGGGCATAAGTGTAAAAAACATTTCTGGTGCCTAGGATGTGTAGGATGCTCCCAAAGTGGGCCGCTTTGGTTTCCCTGTAAAAAGATGCAAGGGTCAGGATCAGAAGGGCCCAGAATAGATATAGGATCCAAGGGAGAATATTCAAGGAGTTGGGTATACATTTTACAAATTGCATGATTCCAAGCTACTGGATTGTAATTCTGTTCTTTTTAACAGATTGATATAATTTTTTTTATGTGTTATGTATATTGGATTGTAGTCCATTGGATCGGTATATGGAGGCCTGATGCAAGGTGTTGGTGCTGCAGAGAAAGTGTTTGAATTCATAGACCGCAAACCAAAGATGGTCAATGATGGCACCTTGGCCCCTGAGCATTTAGAAGGCAAAGTGGAGTTCCAAAACATCACCTTCTCATACCCTACCCGGTCCAGGGCACAAGTGTTAAAGGTATGTACAGCTAAATACCTGTTTTTATACTGTATATAACTACGTAAAACATGTACAGGACAGAAAGTAGCATTCTCTGGTCAACTAACAGTCCATGTCTTCAGTTCCATGAAGGACCACAGGCGTATTAGAGTAACAGTTTAAGAGATCTATTATGTTGTTGCCATCTCTAATGTTTTAAACAAGGCTGGAAAATATGAATAAATCATTGTCTGAATTTTCCTGTAATGTTAGTCTCTGTGTTCCTGGCAAAAAGGATTTAAATCAAATCAAGGATCAGACAGAAGGCATTTAAAAGGACAGCATGCTAATAGATGGTAATTCAGTGTCTGGTAGATTTTGGAGAGATAAACCACCTAACAAAGTCTTATAGCTCTTCCTGGGTTCCTGGGTCTGCATACCTGCTGTGTTCATTATAGAGGGTTTTCAATCTATCTGCTGGATTTTGTAATTGTTTTATATTATCAAGAATGGAGCAGAAGCAGCAGCAGGAACACAAGCACAGGAAGAACAATCAAAAGAAACAGGTGGCCAGTTATAGTTGGTAATTATTGCAGAGATCTACTTGTTCCAGTAAATATATACTATATATATATATACTGTGTGTATGTATGTATGTATATAGATTTAGATCATTTGCAATAGATTTTGGAAAGATACTATGCACGTTTTAGATGTTCTAGATTCAGTACAATGGCAAGCTATGCTGCCATTTACCCATATTTTGTTTAAAATTGAACACAACCTTCTTTCTTTGTAATGTTTTGCAGTATCTTATTACATACTGAGATATTAGTTAACGTGCTGATTCATTCATCATTATTTAATGTTCTTTGGTATCAGTTGTAGCCCAGCCCATACTGATCATCAAATTTTTTTCTTGAGAAGAATAACAGCGCTCTTTCAGTTACCTAGTCTCTGTCTGCAGCCAGACAGTCACTTCATTCATTTCCAGCCTCATCTAAATATCCTTTTGTGTGACAGAGTTCAGTGCTGAGCTTCAATAGCTTTCTGAGTCATAAAATACATGTTTCCACAATAGACAGTTCTTGTGTTTCAGATCTTTGGACAGTGAATAAAAAAAAACAGTTTCACACAACTTGAATTACCATAGGATTGTATCTACAACTTTTCCTTTTATCAACAGTTCCACTTATATTTAATTATTAATTTACTCTTGGCAGCAGTGATTTACAGGTTCTGCAACTCCTCTTCTGTTCCCTGACTATTTCCATCTACCTCGTCATCAGTCAGACATTTGAGGTTGTGACTTGATTTTAAAGAACCAATGAGCTAATGTTTTGTCAGAGTCACAGTGCTAAAGGATTGGTGTAACCAAAATTTGGGCTGAATGACCCACTGAATTTTATACGTCCCAGTGATTCCAGATGATCTGCCTCCTACACATCTCTGGCCCTGCTTGCTGTAACATATTGTGGCCAAGAGAGTGTTTTAGTGATTTGAGAAGCTGGTGAGTGACTGATCTTCTGAGCAGCCACCCAAAACATGAAAATATGTGAACTATTAAAGTGGATCCACCAGAGAGAAAAATAGGTAGGCATTGTTGGCATCTCCTTTTGAAAATTCTACTTTCCTGGATACCATGCTGATGCATAGGCTTTAGTATTATTAAAGCCCAACTCCTGAATACTTCCAGCGTAGGGCAGTCACTGCACACTGGCCAAAAATGATGAAATGATGAAGTGACATTTCAATAAAGTTTGTTTAAAATTTTTTAAAAAAAGTAAACAGTATAATGCACAAGGATTGGCGCATTAGCACTGTTGGCACCACAATGTACACCAGCTGGTGTATTGTAACTGAAATCAGATCGCTTCCTATAATCCATCAATGCAGAGGCTGGTGTGAATGGACCCTTAGGGGTTTATTTACTAAAGCTGGAGAGTCCAAAATCAGACTCCCTTCTGCATAGAAACCAATCAGCTTCTAACCTCAGCTTGTTCAATGAAGCTTTGGCAATGAAACCTGGAAGCTGATTGGTTTCTATGCAGAAGGGAGTCTGATTTTGGACTCTCCAGCTTTAGTAAATAAACCCCTTAGTGTTTTCCAGCCACGTGTTTAATTCACCCACTTCACTACTTCACCTGCAGTGAAATTTGTTATATAAAAAAAGTTAAAAATGTAAACTATAATAGTAGTGGAAATACACTGTCATCATTCTTCAATATTTTTCTATGTGCTATACATATATATACAATATAATGTGTGTATGTGTATATATATATATATATATAGTGTGTGTGTATGTATATATGTGTGTGTATATATATATATAGATAGAGAGAGAGAGAGAGAGAGAGAGAGAGAGAGAGAGAGAGGGAGAGGAGAGAGAGAGAGAGAGAGAGAGAGAGAGGAGAGAGAGAGAGAGAGAGAGAGAGAGAAGTGCTGACTTTTTGGAAATTGTAGTTCAGAAGATCATTGCTGGTATGAAGTAGATTTGTAAAAAAATAGAATAATTGTCCCAGGATTCGTGGTACATGAAGAAGTCTACTTTCAGTGCACATTAAATGATTTAATCCTTTTGTTGGCATTCCTCAGTTGTGTTTATTTATCATTTTCTTTCTCCCAAAATTCCGACATTTATCCAATACTAACCAATTATTCCAACTGAATCTTGGGTAAAATGTGTGAATCTTGGATGAAAACAGTGATAAATAGACCCCTATGTATTACCTGACTTGTGTGAAGTTATATAAACACAAGGGTAACAGTAACCATAGGTGTCCACCCATTAAATTAGAAGTCTGAGTGACCGTCATGTGTCTTGTTTTGCTGTTCTGTAGAACTTGTCTTTCACACTGTATCCTGGAAAAGTCACCGCACTGGTGGGACCATCGGGAAGTGGGAAGAGCTCCTGTGTGAATATCTTAGAGAATTTTTATCCTGTGCAGGAAGGAGAGGTCCTCCTGGATAGTCACCCCATCACAATGTATGACCATAAATATCTGCACGCAAAGGTATGTGTCAAAAGCATGTATAAATCAGTGAATGCCCCACTCATGATTCATGATCCATGTCCTTCAAATATATGTAAAGTACATAACTATGAATAAGAATGTAAGTATTCTTTTCTATTCCTGTATAGAAAAAGGGCATGTGATTTTTTTTTACAGTGTATCTATTGTCAAAATGTAAACTATTAATTTCCGCATTGTATTTCAATAATATCTAGCCTACTCCTATTTTTCTGAATGATCTTGAAGTTTGTAAACGTACATAGAGAAGATCCCCACGTATTTACTTTATTGAACTTAGTGACATGTATTTACTATGCTCCATGAGTAGGCACTGCTGTATCACACATTTCACAGAGCCTGCCTTCTGAACTACAGAGGTGCAGAGAGGAGGAGCTTTAGGAGGCGGAGTCAGCACAGGAATCACTGAATGCAGTCAGCAAGGCACTATGGGATATGTAGTCCTTAGAAATGGAACGTAAGCTGAAAAGCATGCAGGGAACACAGGAAGATGAGAAAAGAGACGACCTGCAGACAGGCAGCACTCACAACATGAAAGGAGATTTTCCATCTAAGCTTATATTGGATTGTCAGATTTAACTGTTGTTTACAGTACTGATTTTTTAAAATGATAAGTGTGCTGTGACCATAGATTTCCTTTAAGGATAAGGATCGAACATTTTAGATCGAATTTTGTAGAATTTTATATCGTGTTATATAGCGCTGCACTTTACTTATTTATTTATATCAGAGGTGGTTGTGATCACCTTCAGTGCTTTTAGCTGCTTACTTGCCATTTCATTAGTAGCGCTCACTTTGTTTTATATTATCTTCCTTTAAGGATAAGTTCACTTTCAAAAATAACCCCTTACACGAGCCCTATGTACCAAAAAAAATCTCTGCCTTAAAGAAATTCTCCAATTAACCATCCAGTCAACCCTGTGGTTATCATCTCTAGCTCTCATTCATCACCGAGCTGACGATGGTCATAGAAATATGGGTAAAGACAGGAGGTGGGCAAATGATATCAGTAACACAGCCAGCTAGACATGCTAACATGAATAGCATTTTAAAAAAGGAGGTCAGCAATGGCAACTCGCATATATGGTTTCATATCTTCTTCTTTAGAAGAACTATTCTTTTATTTATTGCAAAGAGCCCTATTCTATTTTTTTTTAAAGGGCCCAGTTTATAAAACCTAGAGAAGAAATAGGTAAATCAAAAGTTGTTTAATTCTGCTTAAGAGTTGTTCCATACAGTGACCAGCCAGGTTAATTTTATATTCTTTGAGAAATAAAAAAAAGGAGTTTGATTAGTTGCAACTGTTCCCCACTCTCCACACTATGATTTATATTTAAAGCTGGAAAAAAGGAAAAGTGAATTCACCTACAGCAAATTATGTTGTCTGAACTTTCCGACTGACTGCTTCTTGTGTAAAAAAGGGTTTCCCCTCTGTCTTTATACCTTGTGGTTAGTTCATTTTTTGCTATAAACAGTAAGACCCACCAGCCAGATTGCCATGGTAAATGTATTAAGCAGTTGTCAGTGTGGCTGCTCAAATGATGCTTTTTTGCATACTTTCAAATACAGTAATGACTCACACAGGCCTTACTGAATCCCGATACCCACAATCTGACCATACAGACTGAATTTAATTTACGTAAATAAAGCTTTGGATTTTATACTTATATATCACAACACTTAAACCTATAATATCCCAGAAAAGTGATCTACCTTCACCCTTGAAGGCCAGCTAAACAATATATATATGACTTTTCTATGAGCAAATGCATCAAATCTTATATAAAAATTATAAAAATACAAGTATTATGTCCAAAATCCCACCGTGTCCAAAAATAAATACCCTATATAATTACCCTATAGCAGAAACAGCAGGGCAGATTAACCACTCTGGGTTACAATCTCCTCTCATAGATTTCCTCCAACGATTATGATTTTCTCCTCCACTTTCCTCCAGAAAACCAGTCACAATATAAAAGGTATTCTTCTTTATTAAAACTCACATAAATTTCACACATAAAGTGCGATCGCGGCCATCTTGGAAGTGGGAACATGCGGTTTATGTTTCCCTGAACCTGTCCATGTGCATACTGCTTATGAGGAGGAGCTGTTACCACCACAAAATTTATGTGAGTTTTAATAAAGAAGAAGAAGAAGAAGAATACCTTTTATATTGTGACTGGTTTTCTGGAGGAAAGTGTTTTGACACTTGGTTAGAGTATACACATTTATTTTATTTTATTTTGCATGCTGCACAGTGAGTGGCACGTGTGTTTTACATTATTTAAGGTATGACACTATGTCGAGTTTTTCTCTTTTTTTTTTTGAGGTGCATGGATATCAGGATTTGCGGGTATTATTAAGAAGGTTTTGGTGATGAAAGAAGAAGAAAAAAGTTTAAGTGTTTGTATTACACTTGTGAGGATTATTTTTGGGACTTTTGATTTTATTTTATTTTTAATTTTATTTTTATTTTTTATTTTTATATTTTATTTTTGGACACGGTGTTTTGGTGATGAAAGAAGAAGAAAAAGTTTAAGTGTTTGTATTACACTTGTGAGGATTATTTTTGGGACTTTTGATTTTATTTTTATTTTTAATTTTAGATTCTGGGCTCATTTTTATTTTTTATTTTTATTTTATTTTTGGACACGGTGGGATTTTGGACATAATACTTGTATTTTTTTTATAATTTTTTATATATAAGATTTGATGCATTTGCTCATAGAAAAGTCATATATATATTGTTTAAGCTTTGGATTTTGTATTAATAGGTTTTACTATTTCTTGTATATACAACTGGGTGCCTAAAATATCATATAAAGTACAGTTAGGTCCATATATATTTGGACACAGGCACAATTTTAGTTTTTTTTTTCAGGTATTTACCAAAACATATTCAAGCTATAGTAATCCCAGTAATGTCCATGGGTCCCAGACTTCAGGCAGTCATTGCAAGTAAAGGATTCTCAACAAAATATTAAAAATGAACATTTTATTTATGATTATATTCAATTTTCCAATTACTTTTGGTTCCTTGAAAAGGGGGGATGGCTACTCTTAAGAGATGTAATTCCTAAACCCTTCCTCCAATGTGGATGTACATACCCTCATATTAAACCTCAGAGTGTGCACTTTCAGCCCATATCCATTATATAACTAAAGCTTGAATACTTTTTGGTATGTACCTGAAAAAAACTAAAATTGTGCCTGTGTCCAAATATATATGGACCTAACTGTATATCTTTATAAGCTTGGCGAGTACCGTGTCAGGTGACATTAAAGTGATACTAAACCTTTTTTTTTTTAATAATTAACAAACACGTCATACTTAATGCTCTGTGCAGTGGTTTTGCACACAGCTGCCCCAATCCTCTTCTTTTCGGGTCTCCCTGCTCCTTCCCTTCAAGCAGTGCTCCGAGAGAAAGCTGCTTGCCCTGGGGGCACCACTGCGTGCACGCTCCTGAGCTGCTGCTATATGCATCCCACCTCCCTCTCTTCTTATTGGCTTACTGGCTGTGATTGACAGCAGTCAATGGGCTCCTGCTGCTGTCTCAGCCAGTGAGGAGGCAGAGTCTCCATACAGCTGAGGCTATTGTGAATATCACTGGATCGGAGGGGGAAAAGAGTGGTGTGGCTGGGGGCAGAAGGTATGAAGGTAGAATGCATGAAGGTAAAAAATCTTGAGCCTTTAGAACAACTTTTATATAAATTCTAGGAACGCTGCAGAAAACCAAATGCATTACATTGACTGTGCTCGTGCCTGAGCATCCAGTAGTCAGACCCAAACACCATCACATGGGGAGGGGCAAAGACCTCACCAGTGTGCACTTCAACACCGTGCAACATGAGAACTTGCCCAGGATAGAATTCTGCAGCAGGAAAGTGGCGAGGGAATGCAGATTGAGAAATAAACCTACTGGGCAGGGTGGCCTATCAACAGACACTGAGGTGGATTTACGAACGGCTCTTTGGAAGTTCAGTTGTACTCTGCAAGTGCAGTTGCTCCAGAGCTTAGTAAATAGGTGAAGCTCTGCTGACTTTCATTATTCAATCATGAGCAAGCAAAAATCCTGTTTTTTTTTTTTTTTTTTTTTATTTTCCTTGCATGCGATTGGGTATTCTTGGCAAAGTGAAGCTTAACCTTATTTACTAAGCTCAGCGCAACTGCACTTGCAAAGTGCACAGTCTATTTGCCTTTATTTAATTCACACCTCTATCTCTTCGCCATGAATGTGCAAAGTGTTATTGTTTCTTCTAACTAATAAAAATGTGAACTTTTGCTCAGCTAGGACATGTGTTTGTTATGACTGCCTGCTTTCTCTATCCTGTTTCTGCCTGCTAGGTTTCAATGGTGAGTCAAGAGCCTGTGCTGTTTGCCCGTTCGATCGAGAGTAATATTTCTTATGGACTGAGCTCTGTGCCCCTGGAGATTGTTATTGGTGCAGCCAAAAGAGCCAGTGCCCATAGCTTTATCACGGAACTTCAGGATGGATATGACACAGGTATTGTGTAATCTGTCACATAGAGAAATACACATGATTAAATCTGAATGAGAATTGGTAACAAAGGGACAATGGCCGTTTGCTCCTTTTAACATAATTTAGCTTGCTTCAAATACACAATATAACATTGTTATATGAGGTGGTTGGGGGCATTGCTGCCATGATGTTGAATAATTGAGGGTATTTACTGAACAATAGGCATTATACATTTTTAAAATTGTACATTGTAATTTTGGCACATTTTCTTTCCTACCATAAGAAACTGGAGAAAAGGGTGCACAGCTTTCTGGGGGTCAGAAGCAGAGAGTGGCTATTGCTAGATCCTTGATCCGGAATCCTAGAGTTCTGATACTGGATGAAGCCACCAGTGCTCTGGATGCAGAGAATGAGCATGCTGTAAGTTGCAAGTTTGCTTTAATACTTATTTGGTCTCTTTTCCCATGTGATACATTATCCAAAAATCAAGATGATAGATGAAATAACTAAAGTCAAGGGCCCTACATACACTCACCAGCAGGGGCGGACTGACCATTTGGAAACTCGGGCACTGCCCGAGGGCCAGGGGTCAGTAGGGGGCCCCATGAGATGCCCCTGGTACCTTTTTCATAGGCTTTTTTGAGTTTGGGCAAGGACATAGGGACCCCATGATCCCCTATTGCCCAGGGGCCCCATGAGTTGTCAGTCCGCCCCTGCTCACCAGCCACTTTATTAGGTACACCTTGCCAGTGCCATGCCAAGGAAATATCCCCCACACCATTACACCCACCACCATCGGCCTGAACCAATAAAAGGCAGGTTGGATCCATGCTTTCAATTTGTTCATTCCAAATTCTGACCCTACCATCTAAATGTGGCAGCAATTAGTCTGCCCATTCTCCTCTGACATAAACATAGTATTTTCATCCACACAACTGGCGCTCACTGGATATTTTCTCTTTTTCGGACCATTCTCTGTAAACCCTAGAGATAGTTATGCCTGAAAATCCCAGTAGGTCAACAGTGATTGAAATACTCAGACCAGCCCATCTGGCACCAACAACCATGCCACGTTCAAAGTCACTTAAATCCCCTTTCTTCCCCATTCTGATGCTTGCTTTGAACGTCATCAAGTTGTCTTCACTGCATCTACATACCTAAACGCATTGCATTGCTGATTAGCAATTTGAGTTACCAAGCAATTGAACAAGTGTACCTAATAAAGTGGCTGGTGAGTGTACATAACTATTTTATCTGATATAGATTTCTTTGGCTGTGCTGTCTTTTAATGAATTCTCACTTTTATTTAATTCTTCTTAAATTGCCTGTGAGTTGTGAGAAACATGAGGGAAATAAAAAAAAACATTCTATAGAGCTAATAGCTGTAGAAAACTAGCAGTTACAATGGGAGTTGTACCACCTGCACCCCCGATAGAGATTTCTTAAGACTTCTAGTCCCAACATTGCTAATACTGAATAAACATGAGATGTGGTGGTTTGGTGGAGTTTCACACATGTGAACTGCAAATTAATAAAAAAAAAAAAACTGTTGATGATTCACTCTTCACAGATCCAGCAAGCAATGAATAATGATCTTCAGGGTCGTACAGTACTAATTATAGCACACAGACTGAGCACTGTGGAGAAAGCACACAATATCATTGTTTTAGACAAAGGCACAGTGGTTCAGCAAGGGAGTCACAAAGAGCTGATGGAGGAAGGCGGACTTTATTCCCAGCTCGTTCAACGCCAAGTCTCTGGCCTCGGATCAGAGGAAAAAGATCGCATAAGGTCAACACATCACCAAGAAGAGGGCACAGAAAAATGATGCTGACACAGATCTGGGACTACAGTACTTGAAGGCTTACCTCGACATTAAAAACAAAATAGGTCTGTGCATGAGTCTACTGGAGATACAAATACCTCAATGAGACCGAATTTATTTCAACACTACAATAGTAGGCATCTTTAGAGATAAACAACTTGTCTATATTGTAGTAGCCGTGCACTGCATTACAGGCGGACCTCGGTTTACGAATTTAATTCCTTCTGAGGGACTTTTCGTATTGTGAAAAATTCGTAAACCGAAATGCAGTTTCCCATAGAAATGCATTGAAAACCAATTAATCTGTTCCAGGGGTCAGATAAAAGTCTATCTATTCAAAACTCTTTATAAAGTACACTTTAAAGGCATAAATACTGTACAGGGACATGATAAAAAATGAATTTGTAAATCCATTGAAAACCAATTAATCCGTTCCAGAAGTCAGATAAAAGTCTATCTATTCCAAACTCTTTATAAAGTGCACTTTAAAAGCATAAATACTGTACAGGGACATGATAAAAAATGAATTCATAAATCCATTGAAAACCAATTAATCTGTTCCAGAGGTCAGCTAAAAGTCTATCTATTCAAAACTCTTTATAAAGTGCACTTTAAAGGCATAAATACTGTACAGGGACATGATAAAAAAATGAATTTGTAAATCCATTGAAAACCAATTAATCCGTTCCAGAGGTCAGATAAAAGTCTATCTATTCAAAACTCTTTATAAAGTGCACTTTAAAGGCATAAATACTGTACAGGGACATGATAAAAAATGAATTCGTAAATCCATTGAAAACCAATTAATCCATTCCAGAGGTCAGATAAAAGTCTATCTATTCAAAACTCTTTATAAAGTGCACTTTAAAGGCATAAATACTGTACAGGGACATGATAAAAAATGAATTCGTAAATCCATTGAAAACCAATAACTCCGTTCCGGAGGTCAGAAAAAAGTAAAAAAAAGTCTATCTGTTCAAAACTCTTTATAAGGTTCACTTTAAAGGGATAAAAACTGTACATGGACATGATAAAAAATTAATTTGTAAATGCTTTGAAAACCAATCCATGCCGGAGGTCAGAAAAAAGTAAAAAAAAAGTCTATCTGTTCAAAACTCTTTATAAAGGTGCACTTTAAAGGCATAAATACTGTACAGGGACATGATTAAAAAAATTGTAAATGCATTGAAAACCAATTAATCTGTTCGTATTGCGAAAAAAAAATGTGTAAACCGAGCCATTATTTTCAATGGATTTTCACTTGTAAACCAAAAATTACGTTAACCGAGGCATTTGTAAACCAAGGTGTGCCTGTATATTACTAATAGATTCAAAATATAATGTTTCATACATATTTTTACTATAAGACCCTAAATAGCAAGAGAAGGCTGCTAAAGTGCATAAAAGTTACATGAAAGTCCGATTACCTGTTCTTGAGTTATTCAGTCTCCCAATTAGTGCTGCTGGCTGTACGCTATGCAGACCTTTTGTTTAATCTATATTTTCATTCAAGGGGAGGAGGAAGGAGAGGGAAGGAGCTGGAGGGGTTGGAAGGATAGTGGCACCATCATGGACTAGATAGGCCATCAAGGCTTAATATTCAGGAGTGCAAGTAAAGTCAATCTAACAGAACCAGGTTTTACGAAATTATTCCCCTCTGTGGTTTGAGGAAGCTATAACATCCTCCATGATTTTGATCTCCTTTACTTTACTGAGCTAAACACTGATTGGAGGGGGAGTAGTCTGTTTTGAATATTGGAGGATGCAGTCTTTCACCTCATTTAGAAGCTGAATCAAGAGTGAATGCAAACAGGGTTGCAAGGTGGAGGTGGAAAGCCAAGGGGTCATTACCCAGATGGACATCTGTCAATTTGAATGGGATTTCCCTCACTTGGTTCTGAAGGTTCTATAGGAGCAGACAGAATTACAATACATGTAAAATACACCCTTCTTGTTGTTGGCATCTCCAGCCGAAGGAATGAGCACTGTGGACAGATTTGAAGTAGGGTCTTTGGAACTCTATACTATTGTGACACTATCTTAACGTGTTATTAAACCCACAACAGTAAAATCAGTCTGTATAAGCAGTAAAGAATGCTTGTTATACTCACTGTGGAACCTAAGGGGTTAATCACCTGCAATTTGTAAAAAGGATGTTTGATCCTGTCTTCTCTGATCCTCCCCTTCCTCCACGCTCCCCAATCCATCTGCTGATATAACAAAGCCTTGAAGGCAATGTTTAGTGTGTATTGCTAGAGTGTTTTTTTTTACTTTGGGAGGGTGCATGTGATCAGCACAGAGCCAATCAGCGCAGTCCAGACAGAGGGTCAGGGGTCCTGCAGCCTCATAGGACAGTGATAGGAGAACGAAAACTCCTCCTACAAGCTGTAACCAGTGCTCTGCTGGACACTGATAGAAGTCACAAGACTGCTATATACTGCTGATGAGAAAAGGTATTTAGCAGTTTACATTTACTGAAATAGTTGTATTTCCATGTTGTGTGTACTGTGGGAGGCCAGATATAGTGAATGCAGGGTCCTGGGTTTGGTAACACTTTAAATCCAGTTTTCACAAATGCCTTTTGGCTTTGATATATGCTGTATGCTTTACTGGAATTGGATAGTGCAGAATGATGGACCGATAATTTTTGTAGTTAGTTTATATTAAAAATATTATTTTGTATCAATAGCTTTTGTGCTGGATTCATGTGGGCTGCTTTACCATGTACGCAAAATGATGGCTATGTGGTTAGGCTGGGTTCGATTTGCACTAAAGGCACTTTTGCATGGAGTTTGTATTTTCTTGTAGATCTGAATGGGTTTTCCCCGGGTGGCCTGGTTCCTCCCATAATCCAAACACATAAAGGTTTATTGGCATCCATACAAAATTGCTATTAGGTGTCTGTGTACGAAAGGGACTGACGTGAATGGTTCAATGTTCTTTAAAGTGCTTTGGAAAAAAAATGAGTAAATAATAGAAAAATAGCTTTAGTTCTGAGGCAATGTCCGGCAATAAGTAAACAAGGCCTTGTCACTTTACATTTGTTTTATAATATATCTATCTATCTATCTATCTATATTTTTATAGCCCTTGGGAAAATAATTCCACACATTATCACAACTTACTGTGGATACCTTTTAGGTTGCATTATTTAGATGTCCAAAGCAGCAAAGTAATGCATTAAAACTGAAGTATAAATATAATAGACTAAAGTAATCTCAGCACAAGGCGCATCACTAATGAACGACCTATAAAATGCTTTGTTGTGATTATTAATAGTCATGTGACTAGAGTCGCACATAGGCTGAAGGACCACAAAGACTCGAAAACCATTCATAGACCGGGGAATGAATTGCTGGCTTTGTGCCTGAAGGCCTCTATGCAAAGTGATAATGGTACTGGAATAAATGTAAAAAGAAGCTGCTACAGATGGAGAATACATGATACTGAAGCACTTTAGTAACCGTGCTGCTAGGCAACATGCTGCCCTTTGCTGAGGCTGAATTCACACTCCTTGTTCCTGTGTGTTGCATTAAGACATGTCGTATCTAGACATGTGCGGTTCATTTTGTCCTGAATTGAATTTCGGACAAATTTGCGTTATTCAGAGATTCGTCTGTATCAGAATTTTGAATTACCAAAATTTATGTATCAGAATTACGAATTTAAACAAATCCGAAATAACAAAATGAAATTTGGCCAAAATTTGATTCGAAAACAAAAACGAACAAGCATTTGAAAACCTATTTAAAGCATAGCTCCACCCAAAAGCTCCCCGTTAAGGATTGGCACCTTTGGGGAGTGGGGGGGAGCAGTTACCCCAAATTGACAGGTACCTACTCCCACTTCCTCTGCGATCGTCTAGGCAATTGGAAGCAGAAGTTGTCCTCCCCTCCTTGTTCCTGTGTGTTGCATTAAGACATGTCGTATCTAGACATGTGCGGTTCATTTCCTTCCAAATTGAATTTCGGACAAATTTTTTCATTATTCGGATGTATCAGAATTCTGAATTACAAAAATGTATGTATAAGAATTACGAATTTAAATGAACCTGAAATAATGAAACAAAATTTGTCCAAAATTTGATTCTGCAACAAATTCGAATTCGAAAACAAAATCGGTCAAGCATTTGAAAACCAATTTAAAGCGGAGCTCCACCCAAAAGCTCCCCATTAAGGGGGGAGTGGGGGGAAACAGTTACCCGAATTTGACAGGTATCCGCTCTCCACTTCCTCTGCGATCGATCTCCCTCCCCATAGTCTTCTGGGACACGTGACAGGTCCTAGAAGACTATGGGACCATTCACAAAGCCCAGCGCTACTAACGCATGCGCAGTGAGCAGTGAGGCCACAGGCTGTCACAGCCGGGTGCCCACACTGAAGATGCCAGTGCTGTGAAACATAGGGCGGCTGGTGAAATGGGCTGCAGGGGGGGGGCACACACTATGGGATCAAGGCACTGGTAAGTGTCCATTTTTTAAAAGTCAGCAGCTACAGTTTTTGTAGCTGCTGACTTTTATTTATTTATTTATTTATTTATTTTCTTTCAAATCTACACATGTATGGCCAGCTTAACCCTTCCAATTCTGTCTAATTTTTTTGAATTCAGTTGAAATCTTTTCAACTTCGAACGACTTTTCGAATTTTGTTGCATCAATTTCGAATTCCGTTGAACCAATTTCTAATGTGAATGACTTTTCGAATTTGGTGGAAATGTTTTCGAATTGAATATGAATTACTGAAACGAATCTTGAAAACGAATCGAACGAATTTACCGAATCCAACTACACAAAATTTGTTAGATTTCTAATCGAAACAAAATGAATTTTTTCCTTTTGCACGTGTCTAGTTGGATCATGCATTAATGTGCATTGTGTTAAGGCAAGACGATCTTAAATGCGCTGCCAACAGTCAATAAAGGATCATAAAATGGACATGCAGCATATATTTCAGTGCACCACAACGCACAAAAGTGTGGGACTGTGCATTGTGGTGGGCTGCAGC